GAGTGATGGGTAAATTGGTATCTATTGTAACGACCGGGTTCCGTCGTTATAGAAAAGCCAACAGGGAAAAATTTTAGGTTGGAAAACTTTTTCGTAGTAACTTGAAATTTCCCAACCTAGTCCAAATTTGGACGAAATCGGAGTCATTAAGGTGTAGGGAAATCTGGTAACAATTAGGTGGATCATTTATGTTTTTGAGTTCATGAGTGGATAGATAACTCGTTAAGGAATCCGTACGACTTTACGGAATTGAATTCAGGCGAGTAAAATTCCCGAAATCGATCTTAGCGTAAAGGGTACTTTCTGAGGGTCATTGATTAGAGATGTGTTGTGAAATGGGGGCCTTGAAATCCTTTAAATAGCTCACTAGTTCGTGTAAGCTGCCTTGGCGGGGGGTTTTGCCGCACTTGCGAGGCCGCTACAGCGGAGTTAGGGTCGCTGTGGCGAGTTCGACGTGACTTAAAGTCGTAAATAAACCCCTAAACGACCTTATTTTGCACTTTTCGATTTTTAGAGCTAAGGAACGAACCACAAGCGACTCTAACAGTTTTTCACCATTCTTGAGGCTAAAAGTAAGTTTTTCACTCCCCGAATTCATTTTTCAATTCGTAGAATGTAATAGAATGGGTAATTAATGATGGGGGAGGGTTTTGATCTTAGATTATATGGTGGAAACAGCCCTAGTTGGGATAATTGGGATCATGGGTTTGATCTAGGGTTCATAGAATTATTAGTAATTCAGGTAATTAGTGATTGTTTATTGATTCTCATATTATATTGGTTGTTAGTAGACCAAGAACAAGCGGAACGAATCCGGAAAAGGAAGGATCAAGTTTCTTAGGGTTTCAAGCTTGTTTCGAGGTAGGTGATGGTTGTGATTCTATGATTGTGTGATGTATGTTTGTTCTTGCTTCATTATTATACTTGCATGTATGCGAATGTTGCATGATTGATCACACTTGTTGTAAATGAGATAGATGAATGCCATGAATCATGACTTGTCGGTATGAACTTGAGAAGATACTTGTGATTGTGATTGTGGTGTGTTGAATGAATCGACTGTCACGTTCCGGCATAATTAACATGGATCAGTTGCCGCGTTCCGGCATAACTATGGGATCGATTGCCACGTTCCAGCATAATTATGGGATCGGGTACCACGTTCTGGTATGCTAACTGTTTGGGTTAGGTTCCATGAGAGGACCAATAACTTGTCATGATTGTGTATATTGTTGAGTATGTGATAATCGATACTGTATATGTTCGGTATTTTGCATGTCTATAATGTTGTATTGACTTGCTTATGTTACACTTAGTGGGATAGACGCGTGATACTACCAGTACACTGTAGTTGTGCACTGATACTGCACTTGCTTTTATTTTTGTTGAGTACAAGGCATCTTCAAGCGGCTATTAACAGACCTCGCTAAGGCATTGTTTAGTTATTGTTAGACTTTTGTTAGAGTTTATGGGAACTCTATTTCTTTCCTTAGAACTTAACTGCTTTCTTATACTTAGTAGTTTTTAGAGTAGTTGCTTGGTTGGGTTGTAGTATTGGTTCTCCCACCGGAGAGTTTAGTGTGGGTGCCAATCACGATGATCGAGGTCGTGACACCCACATAAATACGGTTAAAGGTCAGTGGAGAACAATAAATTATTCAAACTATATGAATATCTGTGTTAAATAATTAAGTAGTATATGTTTGCTTAGTCGCCTAATTTTTCCTTAATATAATATAAACCCCGAATGTGGATGAACTCTTTTTCTTAACAACTATACTCAGTTATACATAAATAAACATTTAATTTGACAACTATTTTATTTTTGAAATCATAATTTATTTCTAATTTTAGAATACATTAGATCATAATATTTTAACTAAATATTTCAATTTATTTTTAAGAAAGATGAATAATTGTATCATACATTCATCCAATAAAAAAATATTTAAATTTAAAAGGATACATGTGTCTAATTATTTAATTTTATACAAATTTAAATGTCTAATTGCACACATTCAAAATTAGAAGGCATATATGTCAGATGGGGCCAAGTTGAAGGGGGCATGTTTACATTATGGCTATAAAAAAATTATATACCCTTAATATACAGAATGTGAAGTCAAATAGTAACATGGCATGTGAGAATGGAATTAATCACTTGCCATTCACCACCATTATAAACTTTAATTAATTTGTCTCTTGCTTCAATAGCCTATTGAGTTTGACTCTGGAAGTTAATTCAGCAGGAATAATGAAGTTCTTCAGATCTCCTTCAAAGTTGAATGCCACTTCTGTACTACTATTACTCTTCTTTTGCTATTACTCAACAGGTTTGAACACAAACTTTAATTCAATTCTTTTTTTAAATCAGAGTCTAACAATTGGTTCTTGATAAATAATTGTATATAAACTCTAAGAGTTAATATCTCAAAAGGTCATTCAACTTAGAAAATTTATCTAATAGAGTCATTGAACTTTATTTTGTATCAATAAAATCACTCAACTTAAATTTTTAAAATCACTTAACCAATTTTATCATTAAAAAAAAATGACAAAGCATTATAAATTATGTTTATGCCATATAAATATGAATTTCATAAATAAATAAAATTAAATAAAACTATTAAGAATTTCTTACTGATAAACTTAATTAGTGAAAATTATATCATGGCATTAACTATTAACAAGAATCCCCTGCCTTACGGGAGCAATAGCGATTAGCGGGCAACAACAATAATTATTTTTCTATTAGATTCAATCTGAATTCTGATGGCTGAGAAGTTGAGGAAAGAAAACTGTCGAAAATATGAAATTTGAACAGTGCATTAATGAGTATATATTAAATTCAGTATAGTAACAATATCTTTCTGAGCATCAAGACTTTCTTCGATTTTAATTCAGTATGCCCAAACAGAAGTATTGATGCTTTTGGGTAACATCTGGATTTATTTATGAATTATCCAAAAACAAAAAAATTCATATACTTTTTTTAAATCTGAATATTAATTTTAACTTTTCAAATATATAAAATGTTCATCCATTTTTGTTCTGTCAATTACTCGGCTGAATTGTAATTTCTTCTCCAAATCGGACAGTGATTTTGTTTTTGTGTGATGGTTATAGTGATTGACTGGAAACTTGATCTAGGAGAGAAAATGAATGGTGATATAATAAATTAAGTTGAGTGATTTTATTGATACAAAAATCTATGTTGAGTAATTTTATTGATACAAAATAAAATTTAATGATTTTACTAGATAAATTTTCAAAGTTGAGTGACCTTTTAAGATATTAACTCCAAACTCTAAGGATGCGGGTTCGTGTCATTTTTCAAGAAAATGGATAAGTGATTTTCTGGTGTTTGGTTACATGTTACAAATTTAAATGTCTAATTGCACACATTCAAAATTAGAAGGCATATATGTCAGATGGGGCCAAGTTGGAGGGGGCATGTTTACATTATGGCTATAAAAAAATTATATACCCTTAATATACAGAATGTGAAGTCAAATAGTAACATGGCATGTGAGAATGGAATTAATCACTTGCCATTCACCACCATTATAAACTTTAATTAATTTGTCTCTTGCTTCAATAGCCTATTGAGTTTGACTCTGGAAGTTAATTCAGCAGGAATAATGAAGTTCTTCAGATCTCCTTCAAAGTTGAATGCCACTTCTGTACTACTATTACTCTTCTTTTGCTATTACTCAACAGGTTTGAACACAAACTTTAATTCAATTCTTTTTTTAAATCAGAGTCTAACAATTGGTTCTTGATAAATAATTGTATATAAACTCTAAGAGTTAATATCTCAAAAGGTCATTCAACTTAGAAAATTTATCTAATAGAGTCATTGAACTTTATTTTGTATCAATAAAATCACTCAACTTAAATTTTTAAAATCACTTAACCAATTTTATCATTAAAAAAAAATGACAAAGCATTATAAATTATGTTTATGCCATATAAATATGAATTTCATAAATAAATAAAATTAAATAAAACTATTAAGAATTTCTTACCGATAAACTTAATTAGTGAAAATTATATCATGGCATTAACTATTAACAAGAATCCTCTGCCTTACGGGAGCAATAGCGATTAGCGGGCAACAACAATAATTATTTTTCTATTAGATTCAATCTGAATTCTGATGGCTGAGAAGTTGAGGAAAGAAAACTGTCGAAAATATGAAATTTGAACAGTGCATTAATGAGTATATATTAAATTCAGTATAGTAACAATATCTTTCTGAGCATCAAGACTTTCTTCGATTTTAATTCAGTATGCCCAAACAGAAGTATTGATGCTTTTGGGTAACATCTGGATTTATTTATGAATTATCCAAAAACAAAAAAATTCATATACTTTTTTTAAATCTGAATATTAATTTTAACTTTTCAAATATATAAAATGTTCATCCATTTTTGTTCTGTCAATTACTCGGCTGAATTGTAATTTCTTCTCCAAATCGGACAGTGATTTTGTTTTTGTGTGATGGTTATAGTGATTGACTGGAAACTTGATCTAGGAGAGAAAATGAATGGTGATATAATAAATTAAGTTGAGTGATTTTATTGATACAAAAATCTATGTTGAGTAATTTTATTGATACAAAATAAAATTTAATGATTTTACTAGATAAATTTTCAAAGTTGAGTGACCTTTTAAGATATTAACTCCAAACTCTAAGGATGCAAGTTCGTGTCATTTTTCAAGAAAATGGATAAGTGATTTTCTGGTGTTTGGTTACATGCATGAAATTTTTTTCAAGGAAAATCCATCAAATTATGACTCCCTTAATTTTATGTGTGAATGTCATTTTTCTTACATATATATAATTATTTTAACTTTTAATTTCATATTGCTTGCTTCTACTAACATTTATACATTATTAATAATCTTTAGTACTAAAAGACTGTACTATATATCTAAAAACTCTCTTAGCTTGCTATCATTATTATTAGTTTTTCAAAAAAATAGTTTCTATTTAACTAACCAAACATTGGAAAACATTTTCTAGAGAAATGACTTGTGTTATACCAAACACAACAAGAGCAGAGAGTTTGGCCTATGATTTTAAACATTATGTATTTCTTATCAAGGAAGAAAAATCAATTGACTACAACTTTGGCCTTCTATATAGAGAAATTTGAAGCTCAAAAGTAGATCTTTAATGTTTTTTCTGATTGATTTTTCCCCTTTTTTCCAGAGGAAAAGTGCATGAAGGGGAAAATTACATATATTAGAGCCAATGTGTGTGAGACTTTAGTAGCTAAAATGAGATATTACCAAATCATTAAACTTTCTTCCATTTGTCTTTGTAATAATTATGATCCACCATGCACAACATGCATGTATTAAGTTTTTCTTTGTGTGTTTGTATTACCATCTCTTGCATTTTTATTCCAGATGCGTTTGATGCATTTGATCCCAATGGGAACATCACAATAAAATGGGATGTCATCAGTTGGACACCAGATGGATATGTCGTAAGTTCGTTAGCTCTTCCATACATACTAGGAGTTCGGACTACGTACCTCTCGATCTTCATATTATCTGTCTTTTAACGTTTTTGCACACTTATGAAAGACATTTAAAATAGCCATGCCCTAGTCATATGAGTAGTATATGACCTACTAAGTCACTAAGCTATATACCCTTTTTAAACGTCTCACTTAATTAACACTCTACCACAATAAGGTACATTTGGAAAACAAGGTAACTCCTACTTTTCTAAAACGTCAAATGGACTTGTCATTAATCATTATGGTTATTTGGACAGGCTGTGGTGACTATAAACAACTTCCAGCAGTATAGGCATATCCAACCACCAGGCTGGAGTTTGAAATGGACATGGGAAAAGGATGAGGTGATATGGAGCATGCTGGGAAGTCAGACTACGGAGCAAGGTAATTGCTCAAAATTCAAAGGAGATATTCCCCATTGCTGTAAGAAGGATCCAACAGTTATCGACTTGTTGCCTGAAACTCCTCACAACCAGCAGATTGCAAATTGTTGCAAGGGAGGAGTTGTCAACTCATGGGGCCATGATCCTTCAAATTCCATTAGTTCATTCCAACTCAGTGTCGGTTCTGCTGGAACAACCAACAATACAGTTAGAATACCTAAGAACTTCACCTTAAATGCACCAGGACCTGGATATACTTGTGGACCTGCTAAAATTGTTAAACCAACTAAATTTTTTACTCCAGATGGGAGAAGAGTGACACAGGCTATGAGTAAGTTAATTAGAACTTTAATATCATTCTCATTTATAAGATGCAGTTTCATACAGGCTAACTTT